GCTCCCTGGTTTATAGTTGCCTGTTGATTTTGATTTTTACTTTATTATAATTAGTCTTTTTCTTGATCCCTTATTTAGGTTTTCTAAATTCCTGCTATGAGTGAGACCATCCGGTATTTTTCTGCTTCTTTCTGGCTTATTTCACTGAGCACGATCCCTTCCAGCTCCATCCATGTTGCTGCAAAAAAATATATAAAATAAAAAAAAAATAAAAAATAAAAAAAGAAAGACTAAGGCTGATCCAAATAAATAAATAAATAAACAAACAAATAAATAAATAAATAAATAAAAAAGGGCTCCCTGTCTCAGGTTGTTTTTCTGACCCCATTTTAAAAGTTAGAGGGTTTTCCCCTATAAAGTGTTTAAAGGCTCAGCCTGTTAGTTCTGGAATTTTCCTTTAATCTCTTTAGTACTTTCTCTTCTTTCTCTTTCTGGAATTTCTGTTATTCAGTGGACAGACCTTATCGAGTGATCCTCTATTTTTCTTATTGTTTCCTCTCTCCTATTTTCTAGTTTCCTTGTCCTATTGCTCTGTTTTTGGAAGTTTTTTCAACTTAATTTTACATTTCAGTTGAGCTTTTCATTTTACCCAATTATCTCTCAGGACATTAATGGACTAACTCCCTTCCTTGCCCAATCCATCTATTGTTTTGACCTCTCTGCTATTACAGATCTCCCCTAGATGCCTGAAGATCAATGAATAGTCATCTGTGTTAACAGCTGGGCACTTAAATAACAATGATAAGCTCTATGCTCTTGTGTGAGGTTGGCAAATATGGGCTTCATTGTAGGGTGACTTGGCCAAGTAATTTCTTCAGGGAACCTCCCACCCCATGTATCTTCAGATCTTTTCTCTTGGGTTGGTCAGATTGCCCAGAAGTCTATTTATTCTAGTCTCCAGGGGGAGAAGGCTGGGATGGTGGTTCTCAACATAATCCATCCCTGATTATGCTTTTCGATCTGACATGCTTGTCGCCAGGTCTAAAGACCTTCTGTTGTACTCTCTCTGGGATATTAACCTCTAATGTACCTAAGTTAGGAAAAAAACAGAAATTTAGCTGTTTGAAATGGGGCAGTGATTTAGAGCTCATTGTTTTTTGAATAAGCTTTCATCAACCATCCCTTGGTACACAGTGTAGTACCTGATTGCAGGTAGGATTTGGATTTGGGGAGTTTGCTAATGCAGTCCTGTGTATCTCACTGATTTGGCCCTTTTATCTTAGTGGGTCTCTAAGAAAGAGAGCCTGATGAAGATATTCAGCCCTAAACCTTGCCCCCCCGCTTTTGCATGCTCTGATTCCAACGGGACACCTGTAGGATGCTTTGCAATCATTCTGCTTATCTGCCTAGTTCACTATATTGCTGCATAAGTCACTTTCTTAAACACAAAACATACTGTTTACTAAAAAACCTTTTGGGCTTTCCATTGCCTACACAAGTCAGATAGTTTCAGTTCTACCGAGGGTCTTGGATAATCTGATCCCAATAGACCTTTCTGGTCCTGACTTCTCATGGAGAAGCGTATGAGAGGAGTACAGGATGATGGAACCAGATAGCCTAGACCCATTATCTCGCCTCTTTCAGTTGGGCAATCTTGAGCAAGTTACTTAATCACCTTATCTGCACAACAGGGTACCTGCATTCCAACATCACTATGAGGATTTTTAGAGCCCTTGAACAGGGGCTGACATTTAGGAAGTGTGATGTAAGCATTAAAGATTGTTAGTCTCTGCACACCTGTCCCCAGATTATTGAGCCTTGGAGAAGGGTCTCTCACTTATTCAGCATTCATGGTGTGTTTATAATGGGACACATAGGATGCTATTCGCTCCGGACACTGTAAAAAGAGTTTGGGAAATGGAGACTGTTGACTGATGATTCAAATATAATGTGACAAATGTGACAATAAAAAGCTCAGTGCAGCAAATACAAGTATGTAAAATTCCTAATGGCTCCGAACAGATGGAGAAGGCTTCACAGATCCAACATTTAAGATAGGGGTTGACAAATGAATGTGTAAGGGAATATGATGTGCTGCTAAGACAGTGGGTGGGAGGGGGGAACTACAGGTGAGGCTAGAGAAGCAGGTTGGGGCCAATTCCTCAACGCCCTGCACAACCTGTTTGAATCTGTATTTTGTTTCAACCAGTGTTTGTGGATTTCACCATCCTAGCACACTGGGAGTGTCCTGGACAGTTCTGAAGAGTTAAAAGTATTTTAACTAAATAACAAGTGCAGCTATTTGACCATTATTTTGAAAGTAAATTACAACATGCTTCCAAATACCACTGAAGAAACCAGACACAAAAGAACACCAACTCTGATTGCCCTTAGAAAAAAGGCAACACTTGGGCCTCCCCGGTGGCGCAGCGGTTGAGCGAGGGTTGCGAAGCTGCCCGCAGCCTCTGCAGTGCCGGTTCGATCCCCGGCTGCTCCCCGGCCATTGGAGGAGGGCCACATGGCATGCAGACCTCTCCTGCCGCCCGCTGCTCCCCTCAGCAGTGTATTTCATCCGTCTGTCTGTTCTGCTCCCTGCTCTGGTTCTGGTTAATCTGCTCCCTGCTCTGGTTCTGGTTAATTCTCTCACCCTCCCGCGCTTGACTGTACCCAGTGCTTATATAAATAAATAAATAAAATAAATCTTTAAAAAAAAAAAGAAAAAGAAAAAAGGCAACACTTCAGGATAAAATTACCTTTGCGCGAGGGGATAGCAAGTGGCGGGGGATGCAAAGGTGGGGGGATCTTCTGGGGTGTCAGTCGTATGGCTTCTTGATCTGGGTACTGGTTCTAAGATACTGTGTGTGTTCATCGAGCTGTCTACTTATATGTGCACTTTGCTGCGTCTGTTATATTTTATTTTTTTAAATTTTTATTTATATATTTTTTACATTGTTACTCATTTTGTGTACATTGTTTGATTTCTCCTCTCAGGTGTAACCCCCATAAAATTATCACCACCAAGACACCCGTGAACAGTCACCATAGTCTCTTGTGCTCTGCCTCCCCTGTTTTGCTCCCTCGTCCTCTTCCTCCCCTGCTGAATATTTGTGATTTGTTATTTGTTGGTTTTGTCTTTGTGTGTGTGTGTGTGTGTATCTGTTATATTTTAAGTTAAAACAATAAATTAGATTCAAGACACTTCATGCCCCTTTGGATGTACATAAGCTGTTATGTGGCAAAGTCGGGTTAGACTTGGAACTCACAATGCAAATATTACTCGTTTCATGTTATTCTGTGGCCTAACTCAGACTAGCTCTTGGACACTCTAAATAGCAATGAATGGTTACCACAAGCCGATGTCAATCCTTTCACCAATACTGGGGCTTCATGAGAAAGGGGTGAACTGACGTACACCCAAGGGTAGCCATAGAGAAAGATCCTAAAACACCAACACTCAAGCCCTTTCCTCTCTTCACCTGTAACAAGGACTGATGGTTCCTTACCAACCTTTAAAAGAAACATGGGTCAAAAGCATCCATGGAAGTGTGACTTCTAATGCATTTGGCAGTTTTGTATCTTTAGAGACATAAAGAATCAATTATGGGTTTGTTTTTTTTTTTCTTAAAATGTTATTTTCACTAAAAAAGTATGCACTCAGTTACAAAAAAACTACACGATAGATAATGAGTCAAATCTTCTACTTCAGTTGTTCCCCAAGGCAGCTACTAGCAGGACTTTCTAAAATATTCTTACGTAGGGCCTCCCTGGTGGCGCAGCGGTTGAGCGCTGGGCAGTGAAGTGGCCCATAGCCTCTGCAGTGCCGGTTCAATCCCTGGCCGCCGGGTGAGGGTCCCACATGGCGAGCAGACCTCTCCTGCCGCCCGCTGCTCCCCTCAGCAGTGTACTTCGTCGTCTGCCTGTTCTGCTCCCCGCTCTGGCTCTGGTGAATTATCTCACCCTCCTGTGCTTCTGACTGTACCCAGTGCTTGTATAAATAAAATAAATAAATCTTTAAAAAGAATTCTTATATATTTTATAAATACCCAAAAGCATATAGAAATATGTAAGTGTGTATACTACTTGTCCCTCTTCTTTTCCAAAACAAATGGGAACCCACTAGACTCACTTTTGTTTATTACTAGAGATTTTCTAGCTGGAAACGTGAATGGGGCTCATTCTTTTTTTTTTTTTTAAAGATTTATTTATTTATTTATACAAGCACTGGGTACAGTCAGAAGCGCGGGAGGGTGAGAGAATTCACCAGAGCCAGAGCGGGGAGCAGAGCAGGCAGAAGGACCGAAGTACACTGCTGAGGGGAGCAGCAGGCAGCAGGAGAGGTCTGCGCGCCATGCGGGACCCTCCTCCGGTGGTCGGGGAGCAGCCGGGGATCGAACCGGCGCCACAGAGGCTGCAGGCAGCTTGGCAACCCAGCGCTCAACCGCTGCGCCACCAGGGAGGCCTGGGGCTCATTCTTTCCCAGGTATCCAGTGCTCCATTGAGTATGTCGGAAATTGCCTTTCAAACAATGTATTTTTAGTCTTTTGCTTTCACAACCAACATAGCATCGAACATTCTTGAACATATTCTTTGACACGCTTTTTCAATTATGTAGCAACTGCTCCAAGATGTGTGAAATACGTACTCTATAACATATAATAATTACATATATAAAACATACATACATATGTCAGAGTATAGCTGCAATGCTATGTATGACCAAACTTTTTGACCTCTAGGTTTCTGTTTGGTTAATATTAGCATTTCATTAATATTTTAATTAGCCAACCTCTATTTAGTTTTACCTGTCTTTTCCATTTCTACCTGAATGAATACTAACCTGTTTGGATTACCACAGCCTTAAAATATACTTTAATGTCTGGCAGGTTCAGTTCTGCACAAAAGAATCATTTAAGAAATATTTAAAAAATATTTTAAAGACATTTAATGACAGATTTACCAACACAGTGCTGTTGCTGCTCTACACAATAAAGACATATAAAATAAATTCCACTTACTCCCTTCCTTCAAAAAGAGAGAATTATTCACATTGCAATTTTAAATAGGAAAATTACCTCGTGGTTAAATTTTTATTTTTTTTAAAGAATAGACTCATGTTCATAGAATAGGGCACATAAATAGAGCTAATTAAAAAAAAAAGTTATGATTTTTAATCTTTTACTTATTATGTGTAAATACCTCAGCAGGGAATAATAACTATACTGGGTTAAACCGTGTTCTCTCCATTCCTGCCCACCACCTGTGGCTATAACCTTATTTGGAAGGTAATATAATCCAGTTCAGAGGTCAGGCAGGATTAGAGGTGGGTGCTAATCAATGACTGGTGTCCTTCTAAGAAGGAACCTGGACACAGATATAGAGCAAACACCAGACAGAAGAGAGGGCCAAGGTCTATGAGTCAAGGAACGCTGAGGATGGCCAGCCAGGCCCTGAAGTTAGGAAGAGCCAGGGCAGGCGTGTTGCCCAGATCCTTAACAGGGGGCATGGCCCTGCAGAGACCTTGATCTTAGACCTCTAGCCTCCAGAACGGAGAGAGAATACATTTCTGTATTTTAAACTGCCAAGTTTGTGTTAATTTGTTAATGGTAGCCCTAGCAACTAATTTAATAACTATCCCAAATTTTGTGTGAAGTTCGAACTACCATAAATTCTACAGGATGTACAACTGTATTGAGCCATCTGCCACTGGCTAGATCTTCTTCAGTTACTAGGCTGCTTCCAATAAGGCAAAATGAAAGACTTGGTTTAGAAAATCCCTTTAATGACTTGTTTTTTACTATTATTTTATTCAGGTACAATTTATAATAGGGAAAAAAAAAATACCTGAAACTATACCAATGTCTACAAAGGACTCACACATTTATTATATATTGCCTCAATATGTTTTAACAGTTTCAAAAGTGCCGTGGGGTTGTATGGGAAGAGGTTTTTCTTCTGGAGGCGCTGAATGGCACCTTGCAGCTCCTCAAAGCACCTAGCTGTGCTGTAAGACACACCCCCTTCAGAGAAAATGCTGTTTGTGGCTATGTCACAAAGGACAGAAACGGGAGCATTAGATTCATTTGGAAACAGAGGCCTCGAGTGAGGCTCCAGGTTAAGTCCTTTTTCATTCCTACCTTTCCCACAGGTGTCCTGAACGTTCTTCTTTGCTTCTTGGTATACAGAGGTCCATTTACTGTTTGCTATATGCTGGTCTGTGGATTCTACTTCTGAATCCTCGGAGCTGTCATAATCTACCAGACTTTGAGAAACCTTTTGGGGAGACCGACGGTCATCCTGCAGGGTGCCTTGGGTCTCCTTGGACATCACAACCTGACGAAGAGGTTCTGGTGAAGCTGGGGAGTGCCAAGAAGGATTATTTCTCTGACTCCCAGCAGCAGCCAAAGGACCAGGTTCTGCTTGGTTGCTGTTCCTGTCCTCAACAAGGAAGGGGGCACAACCACAAATATCTATGTTGTCTTTAAGTTCAGTTACATCAAAATATTTGCAAATGGTAAAAAAATTATCCCATTCTTTTTGCAGTAATTTTAAATACCTAACAAAATATTCAAGAAAACAGGTTTCTGAGGAAATCAAAAAGTCAAGAAGAACTGAAGAATCAAATCCAATATTTCTTAAGAAAAATAAGAAAATACAGTGTGGATTATAGCCATTGTCGTGTGTGTGATGCTTCCACATTTCTTTTTCTTGGGTCAAGCTTTCAGTAGTTTCACAATCTCTGAAATAAAGATAATGGAGATCCCAGATTAAGGACTTTTTACAAAAATAACAGTTTTAACAGACACAATTCACATACCATAAATGCATGTATCAGATTACTTTTTAATCTATGTTCAGTTTAAAAACATTCAAAACCAATTCATTTCCACACAAGCTCTAACCCTGACTCAATAAAATCAACCAAATCCATGATCTTGGTAGTTCTACTTTATCTGCCCCAAAGTTCTCTGTCTTGAAGTTGGGACTCCTCATTCCTACAGGTAACTAATTCCATGTGGTAAGGTGAGGCCGGAGACAAATTTCTTCCCTTTTTCCTAATGTGCAGTCCCCTATGGGGCAGTGGTTAATCAGCGTAGCCCATGTTCCTGGCCACAGTGACTTGCTCCAACCTGAATCTAACCTGATTAGCCTTAGTAGGCTAATCAGATTTCCCCTGGAACTTTTGCTGGAGCTATAAAGATTGTAACTGTAAGGTTGCTGTAAGCCTGGTAAGGCTGGTGACTGCCTAAGAATGAATTCAAAGCTATGAGACAGAGAAAAATAGAAGTTATCAAAGCCATGATTTTTTTTTTTTAGAGATTTATTTTGTTATGCATAGAAGAACTGGGGTACAGGCCAGAGGTGTGTACCTCTGGAGTGAGAGGGGTGAGAGGATTCACCAGAGACAGAGTGGGGAACAGAACAGGCAGACTGACTGAAATACACTACTAAGGGGAGCAGCGGGTGAGTCAGGAGAGGTCTGCTGCACCATGTGGGTAGCTCCCTGGCCGGGGATCGAATTTGTGCTGCAGTGGCTGCAGATAGCTTCATAGATTTCGCCTTAATCCCTTGCGCCACCAGGGAGGCCTCAGAGCCATGATTTGAATCCCTGTATAAACAGCTAAGCTGATGCCAAGCTGATCCCTTGAATTTCCTAACTGTAAGTCAATAAATTCCTTTTTGTTGATTAGACTAGTTTGTGTTGATTTCTATCATTCACAACCAATATTAATGAAGACAATTACATTTTTAAAAAAGGATGTGAGCATAAGCTTTTCTGGACAAACTGAAGTTATGAAAGTTAGATCTTCATATAGAAAGTGAATTTAATTCAAAGGCTTCCTCTATCTGTGGAGTAAGAAGTCAACTTTGAGTACAACTAAGATATATTCTAATAGCCATGTGTATTCAGACTGAATTTGTATTCAACCGTTTCTGAGCCTAATTCAAATCACATGCAGGAATTCTGTGTTCTTGATTAGAACCTTTTGAAAATTGGCCCCAAACACTTAGCGTCTGAAAGCAGCCACTGCCAGCAGTGTCATAATACAAGTGAGAGCTGGCAGCACGGCAATGCCCGGCAATCATTAGTAAGAAATCCCTTCCTCTGAAGCCAAGAAAAAAAAATGGAAATAAAGCAAAAACTTTAAGGTTTTAATAAAGCAGAAGCAGAAATAGTGGAAAAGGTCATCATTTATTGACTTCATGACCAATTAATTACAGATATTTGCCACAAGAAGAATCACCCCAAGTGCAGTGGTTTTAATGAAGCAGAAATCGCATCAGAATAAGCTGTTACCAGTAACCTGACTTCATAACCAGTTTTGGATATTTGCTTCAAGAGGACACCAGCCCCACCCACTGTATATTGAGATTATAATTTAGAGCATCTTGTCTGATTTCTTACAAGGTTTTACTCACCTTGACAAAGGCAAAAATTATTTTCTAGAAGATTAATATAAAAAAATTTAGTCTCAGAGGTGAAAAATCCTTTAACATTAAGGTTTAAAGGGATTAACTCACACAGGTAAAACAGAGATGGAGACTAAACCGGAACCTATACTCCTAACCCCGGTCTAGTTTGACTACTCTCAATCTGCTGAACCAGTCAAGTTTTCGTAATGAGAACACAAGTGTATCTCATTTTCATGTTGGGCAGTGTTAAAGAAAGACATTGGAACATATAAGGAAACCACAAGATTGTTAAGGATTTTTTTCCCTCCTAATAATGGAAAGAAAACAATATGCCCAGCACTTTATTAAAAATCTTTTCTATTTCCCTGGCATGTAGTTAGTACAGCTAAAGTATACTAACCTGGTCAACTTTAGGTAGATGGCCATTAATGCTTTGGCAGCCTCCAGCATGTCATCATCTTGTTCTATGAAGACCTTGGGCAACCATTCACACAGATTGCAGGATGGCAGACAGGGCCGAAGGTGAGGCTTTAAGAAGGTCAGTAACTCAGACATAAATCTCTGTAAATCAACTTCAAAAAATGGAAATTTCAAAGAGCAGGCAACAGTTTATGAATATATTATTATCTTGCCTGTATAAAAAGTTAGAATATCTAATGTTCTTTAAAATGCATCATAATTCACACTTTCAAAAAATCCTGTGACTACTTTGCAAATTAGGAAACGCAATTTTAGAGAAAGAGACTTACTGAAGAGGATAATAGTTAAATTATATAGCAGATCAGTGTCTATTTGCCACGACTGCCTGATAACTAATAACATGAGAAGTAAAAGTCATGGGAATTCTTGCTAAAAGAAGATAAAAGTAAGTAGTAGGTGCAGAAATCACTTTTTACGATGCCATACGTAGAAGCAACAATGCAACCAAACAAGATAACTTTGTCTTCAAAGTTGACAGCAAAATACTTTATTTTTTTTGGTTTGTTTGTGTAAATGATAAATAAAAGTTGTACCAGTAAGCAGAGGAATCAAAAAGTTTTGGGGGAGTTATAACCGCAATTTAAAACTCTGAATTAACATATGCCACCTAGTGTTGCAAATTAGAAGTGCACAGAATTCTAACCAATAGGTAGTCACTGCCAGCTAATAATCCAAAGCAATTCAGGGAAGTCACTGTTTACAACTGAAGTCTTCACTGAAACTACATGCTCTGTGTATATAAACAATTACTATTCCTTTTTCTCAAATGAAATGGAGTACGGCATGTCTTCCCTAAGACCAAAACTGAATAGTGTACCTTAAATGGTTATCTTTTGAGTTAAGAGCCCTGAAATTATATGTGACTGTTTCTTCAGTAAGATTAAACTCTCATAGAGTACTTTCAACTCACTTCTCAGTTATCAGTAATCTACATTAGCAGACATACTAACTCTTTGAAGGATAATATGACTAAAATACTATAGAAATGTATGAATTGACTTAAATCAGCAACTTTGAGGTAACTCAACACTTTTTTAAACCATCAGTCACTCACCACACAAACTCCATGTAACCCACAGAGGGCTGACATGTTTCTTCTGGTAATGCTACTTCTATTTTCTGAGGAAAATAACTAGGATAATGCACAGCTTAAATGAGCGAAATTTAGAGTCCTAAGATTTGATAATCATGAATAATTTACTTCATTGATTATGCTCTACTCTGTAGAAAAGTAGTTCAGGGAATTACCTTTCATTTCATTTACTGAAGCACAACTTTGAAACTTGATTTCTAAGGATTTAATGATAAGTAAGCTTGCAGCTCTGAGGGTCACGTGGTCTGCACCAGGGACATGGGCACCTCCCGGCTGAACCTCATCGCCTCCGAAGCAGGATGGTTCTCCACAGACAGACAATGCCCGCAACAAACCCAAATCCACAGCTTGCAAAATGGCATCAGCTAAAGCCAACATGTCCGTATCAAAATGAGGATCTGGAAGTGTTAAGGCAGGGACAGAGCCACGACAAAGGTCTTCACCCACTTTCTGGAGCAGGCACTTTTTGATGAATATGATGCACTTCCTTTTGACAAAGGCCTTGATGGGCCAGGTAATGACATTTAGCACACAAGAAGGTTTCAAAAATAAAAGCCTTTGGCAAGTGAAATGTGACTTCAGGTGGATTCTGGTGGCTATAAGAAGTTCCAGCAATTCCAGGAAAGACATCAAACTAGTTACTATTTTAGAAGTATCCTGGAAGTTTTCAAAGTGCTGAGAAAAGAAGGAATTATAAAATTCTTCAAAAACAGTGTCAAAAGGAGTCAGGAACTGCTTTAGAATTTCTGCAATTATAAAAACAGTAGTGATAAACAGTAAGAAAAACAAAGGATTTTTAAAACAAGTTTATAATTTCATTTTTGTAAATATTACTACTTGACAAGATGAAAACTGGACTTGGATTGTTTACTTCTAATGTGAAAAAATGAAGCTAGGCAGATTAACAGCTGATAACAGAAGTTAACAGCCACCAGTGTCAGACAATGCAAGGGATGTGTAATAATGAAGAGCTTTAATTTCGCCCTTGTGTCTTTATGTCTTATAAAAAGGAATCCTCAAACAAAAAATATGGTGAAGGATTCTTTGATTTTTCATATTTCAAACTGTAAAGTAAGTTTTACTTTTCATTATAAATATCACAGAACTCAGGGGCCATCCCTGGTGGTGCAGCGGTTGAGCACTGGGTTGCGAAGCTGCCCGCAGACTCTGCAGCGCCGGTTCAATGCCCAGCCGCCGGCGAGGGTCCCACATGGCATGCAGACCTCTCCTGCCACCCGCTGCTCCCCTCAGCAGTGTACCTCATCAGTCTGCCTGTTCTGTTCCCCGCTCTGGCTCTGGTGAATTCTCTCTCCCTTCTACCCTTCTGACTGTACCCAGTGCTTGTGTAAATAAATAAATAAATCTTTAAAAAAAAAATCACAGAACTCGGGAGCAAGATGACAGTGAGTGCTTATAGGGAAGCCTAATTCTTACCTGTTTTTTGTGAACATGGATCTTTAAAGGTTTCTTTTATTACATCTGTCAGAGTTGAGAGGCAGTATACGACTTTATCACTTTCAGTGTGTACAGAAAGATTTTTTTGGCAAAAAGCAATCCAGGATTTGCTTAATGTCATCTACAAGTAAGAAGAAAATTAAAAGTACTAAGTTATAATATTATCGCTACAATTAGAAATTACCTATCATACACAACTGTACACAACATTGTTTACTCCCTTGCCAAAAAAAAAAGTGTATTTGATAAAATCAGAATGAACACAAATATCCTAACATTTTTTAAGAAATACAATATACCATAGAAACAAAGGCTCCAAAGGGAATGTAAAAATATTAGCAGTAGTTATCTCTAGGTGGTGGAATGATGTGTTTTTTATTTTTTTATACTTTTTTCCTTGTTTTCCAAATTTTCTACAGCAAATGCCACCTTCTGCCTTCAGAAAAAAATGCTCTATCAAGAAACTCAAAAGTAATTAATTATGCTAAGATAGTCCTAGAATTTATTTATATTAGATCTGTTTTGAAAACAGTCCATTTCCTACAGGGGTTCCTGAAACTGGGGTGGGATTAGAGGTGATGCTGAGGGTTTCCTACACCTTTCAGAGTCGAAGAAAGCCATGGACTCTGCCTTGAAACCCACCGTTTGGGTCTCACATCTGATTTATAATGATTTACAATATATATATTAGACTCTAAACCTTGATACAAGTCTTTGATTATTCCTTTCTTACACTTTTGAGGACTTACACGTTTTATTACATGAGCAAATAATTCATCAACACAAGTATTTGAATGGTAAAATCAAAATTCAGAACGTGATCTTAAAGAAACTGCGAGGAAATAACAAGGAAATCTGATTGCCCACCTCACCTTTTCTTTCAACCGGAAATACACAAGCAGGGCGAGGCACTTTGCTGCCATGTGAGGTAACAGCTTATCCGAGTTTTGGAACATACTGGTCTACAGTGGGAAAGCAAACAAATTTACCCACCGTTGTTGAATGTTTCCACACTTTTATTTTAAAAGCTTAGATCTTAAACAAACACAAAACCCCCATGGCTTACTAATTCAGAATCGACTTCTGATGATTTTAAGAGGATTTTAATGATCTCTCGGTATTTCTCCTTTGCCTGGAGTTCAGTGTCTGAGGACAGTATCCTGGTGATCATCACTCGGATCACTGTTAACTGCAGGAGCCTAATTTCCCAGGCGCTGCTCTGCTGAGCATTTCTCTTCCAACACTTGGGCTCTGCAGAATTGGTAGAAGCCGAATTGGTAGAGGCTGGGGGTCGCCCATCTGGGACCCCACGGTTGTCGGAGCCTTCTGAGCAGGTGGTGGAGGAGCTGGCTTGATCTGAAAATGCTGGACTGAGATAACAGCCACAGTCATGGCTGTCATTTTCCAGTGTGGTTCCAAGAAGTACCTTCTCGTACAGTTGTCCTAAGATTTCAAAGCAAGCTTCCGTTTTGATTGCCATCATGTAGCTTTAAGGTCGACAATTGCAAATTGTAAATATTAATCTTAGAAATCTGACAAATCTCTACAGTGTTTCTTTGGTGAAATCTAAAATAGGAAAAATAAATTTGAAATTCTAAGTGTTACATCCATCAACATTACAAGGGAAAGAAAGGCATCTGTTTCAATTTAGTCATTTAGTTTCGCTAGTGAGAGGTAATGCTGATTGCTTAATTTCCAAAATGGAAAATTGGTAATAAGAACATTATTTTAAGACCATAAAAATATGTCTCCCATACAGATTTAAAGCCACCAAATTAATTTGGTCACAGCAGGAAATACAGCTTTTTTTTTCCAAACACTTTTCAAGGCTTTTCTCCAGACTTCTCAGCCTTGGTGCTGTTCACATTCAGGACCAGATCATTTTGCTGTGGGGGAGCTGTCTGCATCCAGGGTGGTTTAGCAGCATTCCTGGCCTCCACCTAGGAGGTGCCAGTAGAGCTCCCCTAAGGGGCAAAAGTCCATGCAGAGGATGCTGGGCTAACCAAATTCATTAACCTTCACCTACTTACAGGCAAAACCTAAAGTTAGATTGCTATGTGGTCACATTATTATATTGGTGATGAATAGTTTCCAACTTAAAATTATCTGATAACAGAAAGAAACCTTGGCTATCACATGTAATGGGAAATAAAAATTAAAAAAAAAAAAAAAACAAAAAACCAGAAAAAGACGAGCTACTAGGGAAAAGGAATCTGTACATGAACAAAATGCACTTGTGCCCGGATGCATGTGAAGACATCTGATCGACCCAGGCTCCTCTGACATGATGGAGAACAGGGAGAGTGGAGGAAGAGAAAGGTTGTGTAGGGTCATACGTGGCTCTCAGAGCAGGGAATAAAGGCCACCAACAGAGAGATGAGTATTAGAGGCAGCACAGAGTTTCTACAGAGCAAGCATGGAGATGAAGAATCTGACTTTGCAGAAGCAAAAGACATTGTTGAATATCCTTTCAATGGAATGCTGGAGCCTCAGGGAAATCTCACATGGTTTGGAGCTAGTTCCTTCTTTGGAGCTGTTTTACACCTCAAGTTGTAGATATCTGATAGCAATGCGAAAAATTCTTCTGCAAACATGCAAATTATCATGTGTGGAATGGCCATCCTCCGTGCAGTGGGAAAAGCTAGATTTGCTATTGATAGATATGCTTCTGTCTGTGAAGTCATTTCAATATTCCCTTACTCCATCCAATTGTGTGGTTCTTTTATTTTTCCTTTAAAATGGTTGTGAGATCTGCCTGGTTCTCTGTTTAATGAATGGGGTAAATCAAACCTTTATGTGCATCACGCTTTTGTTGTCTTAAACCTGAACTTTAACAAAATCCACGGTTCCCTTGTCTACCCAGACCCACTTATAAATGCCTTGCTTGTCTGACCTTCCTCACAGAAGGCACTGGGTGGCGAGGGAGTAGGCAGCTGTCACTTACATCGGGTCTCACTTCTACAATAAGGCCCACTGATCCGCCCGGCTGTGGTCTTTCACCTCCTTCCCTCTCCACTGATTTCTCCACTGCTTAGTTGCTAAGGAATTTCAATTCCCCACTGCTTCCCACAAGACAAAGGCGCCCTGTGATAAATCTGTAATACAGAAATAAATATGAAGAAACCTATAGATTTTAATTTTAAAGCTATGAAACTTTTGGTAGGTTTTCTCTGTGTCCTATTTTCAAACCAGGGTGTACATCCCGAATGATTCATAAACAACAGAATAGCAGGACTATAGGGAAACCAAGTAAGACATCAGTGTAAAAAAATAATAACGGTACAAAACACAACAAAGCAAAAACGGACAATTATAAACCAGAGACATCCTGCAGGGGAGGAGGAGGGAGAGGGAGGGAGGAGCACAGGGGACTGAGGTGATGGTGCACAGGTGCATTGGTGAAGGAAACTCTATGGGGACTCCACCTGAGGGGGTAGGGAGAAGCAAATATTGTTTAAAAATGAACAATGATGTAAAAAAATATATAAAATAAAAATGAGAGATTTGAAAAATAAATAAGAAAAGAGTAAAAAAAAGAAGCACCACACCTTTTGGTGTTCCCAAAAAAACCTGAGCAGGAAGGACTACCAAGTCCATGCTCCAGTGGGGACCACCACACCTTCCTCACTGAGGCCCTTGTTTTCTGAGACCCACGTGTTCTCTGTCTTTGGGAGACTGCCCATTAAAGAACATTCTCCCTCTTGCAATAGCCTGAAAATAATGGTCTCTGGTGCATTTTATCTGTCATACATTAGAACTGGTTTTCATCTTCTACTTCAAAGCCTAATTCCATTGTACTTATTTTGCTTTATTTTTTAGTTATAACATTTCTTCCCAATAAAACTGACACTTTACAAGAGAGTATTTTAGGTTTTAACTGGTATCATATGTTCAACACTATTATAATTTTCAGCAACAAATGGATGTTTATAGCAATGCTATTGCAATAAAGACACTTTCAATTACATTTCTATAAGTCATAAGTCCTTAAATTTTACCACTAATGAGAATAAAATTGCTGCTCTTCAACCGTTTTTAATCTACAGAAAAGGCAATTTCAAATGGTTCAGCTATTTCAGCATGCAAATCTAAAGTGGATGCCAGTAAATAAACAGATAAGCAAGTGTTTTGGTGTTTTTTTTGGGGGGGGGAGGATCGGCTATTTTCTGTGAAGACAGGAACCAGGTTCTTTGATAAAAGTGACTGTCAGAAAAAAGATTGAAGAGTAACATTTTAAATTATGAAAGACAGATTCCAAATGGCCCTTCATAGGCAAAGGGAAACATGAAGCATCAACTAGGAGCCACAAAGCCACACAGGTAGCAAATGAAGACAACAGGTGTGGCGCGTCTGCTACTGTGACGAAGCATCCATCTTCCCAACTGCCGCATCTTTCACAATATTGATTCTGGCAAAAGAAATCTGTACTGAAAGAGAGGTCTGTGGGTGGCTCTTTGAGAATTGTGTATGTTATTTATTTATTTTTTTAAAGATTTACTTATTTATCCATACAAGAACTGGGGTACAGGCCAGAGGTGTCGGGGGTGAGAGGATTCACCAGAGACAGAGTAGGGAGCAGAAAAGGCAGATGTACTGAAATACACTGCTGAGGGGGCAGCGGGCGAGTCAGGAGAGGTCTGCTGCGCCATGTGTGTTAGTTCCTTGGCCAGGGATTGAACTCGTGCTGCAGTGGTTGTGGACAGCTTCATAGATTGCGTCTTAACCCCTTATGCCACCAAGGTGGCTGCTTTGTGTTTGTTTTTTAGAGCAATTATAGTATTAAGGACACACACAGTATTCAGGACAGTATTCAAGAACAAGTATTCAGGACAAATCCTTAAAAAAAAAAAAAAAAAAAAAAAAGGCAAAAAAGAACTAGGGGATTTAACCCACCACACTTTTCTTCTTAAGTAGCAGCTACAAGGTCGGCAGGTATCAAGCTGCAGGACCACGCAGGGTTGGAGGAAGGGACACCTTCAGGCACCAAGCTTTTCAGAGACACTGACCAAGGAGAGCCTGGGACTAAATGCTGAGAGGCTTTGGAGGCAGCTACACTGAACCCATGAGAGGATTTGTCTCACCTAGAAAGGAAGCAGATATTAGGGGAGGTCTAATTAGGACAAATGACTAAGCAGTGCTTCTTGGGGTTCTGTCAGGAAGAGCCTCTTGGCAGAGGAGAGAACTCCCATAGCAGAGAGCTAACAGGATCTCCTTTGAGAACATGAAATCTGTCTGCAGTCTCTCACTGTTAAAGTACTACAGATAAACTGAATTCTGCATTCTGTTCCTGATAGAACATGGATGTCTTAATATAAAAAGAATATATTTCCCAGCCATCTTTACATAAAGTTGACGATTTAGTAATAATAATTACTATATAATGACACACTTTTGAGTAACAGCTTTACAACAACGATATGATACTTAATTATCCTACCTGGTTTACAGGTAAGGAAACTAAGGCATAGAGAGTTGAAGCTAGTTAGGGACTTGTACCCAGTTTGTTTTCAAATAGTATAGTGTACCCCTGGTCCTTGAAAAGCCTCTCGATAATGGCTGAAGCCCTAACAAACTTCTTAAGTGTAAACAGGAACTCATACAGCCTACCCTTCACCACTTGCCTCATCTACTCCCATGATACTAGAAAGCAATACTGACCCTCAACATCCCTTCCGCATGCTGCATAACATGGAATCAAGGCCAAGTACTAGACAACTTCCCGGTGCAAACCAAAATTAACTTTAAAAAAAAAATTATTTGTTTATGCATACAAGAACTGGGGGGTAGGCCAGAAGTGTGGGGTGTGAGAGGATTCACCAGAGACAGTGTGGGGAGCAGAACAGGCAGAGCTACTGAAATACACTGCTGAGGGGAGCAGCGGGCGAGACAGGAGAGGTCTGCTGCGCCATGTGGGTCAGCTCCCTGGCAGGCTGGGGAACTGAACTCATGCTGCAGTGGCTGGAGATAGCTTGATAGCGCTGACTTTAACCCCGGCACCACAAGGTGGATCTCCCCAAATTAATTTTTTTCAAATGACACTGTGCCACCATAAGTTTAAGTGTTCATCAGGACACCCACTTGAACGAATTTTTAAATTAAATTACTTTTAGTGGCTACACAAAACCCAGGGGAAAAGCTACACTATCCACTGATCAAACTTTGATACAAGATTATCAACAGTTTAAAGGCAGTAGACCTATGAATAACCCAGACCTTGATTTTATTTCATTTAAAATAATTTCAACCTTTCAGCAAAATTAACCTGAAAGAGATCATAGGTTTATATTAAAATTAAGCGAACCCAAAAAGTACGAGAAAATCTTCAGAATCTAAGGCAAAGCAGAGTTCTTAGACTTTACCCCACAGCACAAGCCATAAAGGTAAAAACTGGTAAAATGGAATGCAACAAAATTCAGAACTTTTGCTCTAAAAAAGACCCTATCAAGAGGATGAAAAGACAAGCCACAGACAGAAAAAATTTGCTAGACACATATCTAACAAAGGGTTCATATCTAGAATATATACAGAACTCTCTACATTCAGCAATAAAAAAATAATTGGAAATGGACAAGAGACATGAATAGACATTCCACTAAAGAGGAAGTACAGATGGCATTAAAGTACATGAAAAGATGTTCAACCTCATCAGCCATTAAAGACGTGGAAAGGAAAACCTCAGTAAATACCACTATCAGAATGACAGAAGTAAAAAATTAGTGACACCAAATTCTGGACAGGATATGGAGAATCTGAATCAGTCTTACACCGCTGGTTGGAAGGTAAAATGACACAGATACTCGGGAAGACAGCTTGGCAGCTTCTCACAGAAGCTTCTCACAGTTGCATTCTTTGGTAGTTGTTGAAAATTAACATCCACACAAAAATGTATGTGCCAAAACTTAGAACCAATGAGATGTTCTTCAGCTGGTGAATGGGTTCACTGAACATGGGCTATTGTTCAACAATAAAACATCTAGACCCCAGATCTAGATGTACCAAAGCAGCAGATTGACTCTTTCCAATAGGAGGCGAGCGAATAAAGCTCTAAGCCTCCCTTACTCCGGTCAGCAGGAATAGCCTCAGCCCTCCTCTCTGTGCCACTTCTGACAAGGAAATAAATCTCTACACAAGGGGGTCTCTCCACCCTCCGTGCAGACATGGAGAGACACCCTCCTTAACACAGACAGGGATGGGAAGGTGTGTAAACAAATTGCTGAGCTCACTAACTTAGTTGTCCAAACCAAAACTCTTTCTGTTGAAGACAGAGTTTCAACTTCTCAGAGAACTAATCTGCTTGACTCATGGAGCAGTGCATATGCCTAAATGATTCTCCAATCAGTTCCTTAGCTTATCTGATTGCAAAAATATATTGTAAATGCTGTGTAATTTTCAACTTCCTCATTTTACATGACTATAAAAGTTTCATGTCAAAAATGATTAGCAGCTTCCACAGAAGTTTTTACTGCATTATGCATCTGAGGATAAAAATCATACACATCTTAAAATGGTTGCAATAAAGAGCAAATTAAATAGCCTTGAAGGAAAAAACTTCCCCTAAATTAGCAAGACAAGAGTTACCAGAAAGCTCAAAAGGCACTAGGTTCGCTTTCTTTCAGTATCTTTTTCGCTGAGACCTTGGGGCCAAGGATGGAAATAGAATTCTCTATCCAGTGGCAGCTTCCTTCCTTGCCATGGACAAATGGACTAACTTATGAAAAATATTTACAACTCAGGTCACTGGATACCTGGCTGTCCCAAGACCTGACTGTCTCCTACTGCACACAAGGCTCATCTTCTCCATCAGTTCACAGGCTCCCGGGCCAGTGCTTTGACCTTGGTCACACAATGACATCACAGGACACCAGGAAAAATCCCCAATCCCTGGACACCCTGATGGCCAATGGACTCAGACTTGCTTGAGAGGGATTTAGGCATTTTTCCAAAGCTAAAACTCTTTCTACTCAGGGAATAAACCCAATTCTGACGGAGTCCTGGTTTTATGAATGAAAACATCATAAATACTTACCTTAAATTACTTCATTTCCATTTGTGTGAATTTGATATTACCTAAGTGAGCAGGAAATGAAGTAGGTCTAGGAAAATCTAATCAATTTTAATTAGCTAAAAAATATCGTGCAATTTAAACTGCTTTCACTGGCTTTAAAAGTCAATGAAAAAATATATGAAATCTGATAGCACAATTTCAATATAGCAATTTCGAATTAATAAGTAGCACAAAATGCAAGTGTGAAAATACAGTGTTTCCTGATTATAACTATATTCTTCAGTCACTTTAAAAATTGTAACTTGAACAAAGGGTTTTATTTTTATTTATTTATTTTTAAGGATTTATTTATTTATTAATACAAGAACTGGGGTACAGGCCAGATACGCGGGAGGGTGAGAGGATTCACCAGAGACAGAGTGGGGAACAGAAGGGGCTGACCAACAAAATACACTGCTGAGGGGAGCAGCAGGCAAGACAGGAGAGGTCTGCTGCACCATGTGGGACCCTCCCCAGGCTGGCAAGGAATTGAACCGGCACTGCAGAGACTGTGGATAGCTTCACAGTGCTGCGCTCAACCACCTGCGCCACCAGGGGAGGCCAGAACAAAGGGTATTAAATGAGGAACAAAATGGCCAGAAAAATGGAAGCACTAGAAATTAGAAGACAACTCAGTTATTGCCTCCTCATTAAGAAGCCCATAGTCCTGCATGTCCTGGTGGAGCCTTCATTTAACAAAGACACTTTCTGCACTGCATGGTGGGCACTGAGGCTGCTGTAAGCCTACTGTGTCTCCATGCCACTCACATTATTTATTCATTTCCTTCTCTCTCTCTCTCATTCTGTTTGGAGTTCAAAATTCCTTGATTCTGTAATAATGTGTTATAAAACTCAACTTATAAATTACATGCATACCAATATACCAATTTTCATCTTTTTTTAAAACTGGTTTTCACTGCTAAGAAAATTTGAAAATTAAGAACTAGGTAAGTCCTAAAGCCTTGTGCAACTCTATTAAAATTCCTAGGAAGGAAATAATAAGTACTTTAGGCAGAATATACAGATAAAGTCTAGAAATTCATAGAACAAGTACTGTGCTTAGAGACAAAAAGAATGTGCAAAAATGGAGGGAGCTGTATTAAAATTCTACTTGTTTTGCAAACTTTTTGTGATGTTTTATTTCCATAATAAATGATAGAGAAGTCATGGTAGAAACGAAAGATCAAAAGTTGCTAAGGTAGGGCCTCCCTGGTGGCACAGGAGGTTGAACGCAGTGCTGTGGAGCTGTCCGCAGCCTCTCAGCACAGGTTCGATCCCCAGCCAGCCAGGGAGATATCCACATGGTGCAGCAGACCTCTCCTGTCGCGCCCGTTGCTCCCCTCAGCAGTGTATTTCAGTCAGTCTGTCTGTTCTATTCCCCTCTTTGTCTCTGGTGAATCCTCTCACCGCCCGCACCTCTGGCCTGTACCCCATTCTTGTATGCATAAATAAATCTTAAAAAAAATAATAAAATAAATAAAAACAAAAAGAGCAGCCTTACTAAACATTTAGATGAGAAAAAATACAACTTTTATTTCAGGAAGAGCCTAGTTGCAAATCATATAAAAAAGTTTTTAATCCCTTCTGGCTGTTGTTTTTTTTTTAGCCAAAACTTTCTAGAAAGTGTAATATCCAACTGTACATTCAAAAGAATATATGTCAGACTTTGCAAGCACTTACCAGAGAGGTTATGACAAGATGTAGAAAGATACTCTACTCTAAATGAGATGACTCTTCCTAAAAAACTACATAGAAAGGTATCACATATTTAAGAATGTGCAATTTCCCTTATATCACTCAGTAATCATATTACTATATTTCCTCTTTTCCTTAAAGTACATAACTGAATAATAATTAACGTTCTGGTGTATTGATTGCTATATATTGGCAACTTTATTTTAAAGATTTATTTATTTATTCATACAAGGTCTGGGGTACAGACCAGAGATGCGGGGGGTGAGAGGATTCACCAGAGACAGCAGGGGGAATAGAACAGGTAGATCTTTTGAAATACACTGCTAAGGGGAGAAGTGGGCAAGTCAGGAGAGGTCTGCTGTGCCATGTGGGTAGCTCCCTGGCCGGGGATCGAACTTTCGCTGCAATGGTTGCCGTTAGCTTCATAGGTTGTGTCTTAACCCCTTGTGCCACCAGGGAGGCCCAAGGCTCCTCTTTTTAGGTTTTATATTTCTTGAGAAGCCTCACTGATAAACAAGGGCAAGAAGTCTTTAGGGTTCACCAGATGTGAATATTAATTTAATCATTAATCCATAGTGTCTAAGTGTCTTCTCCATTATGCATGAGGATTCTTACTTTTATATGTCCTTTACACTCCTTCCTCCAGCCTATGTTCTTTTCTTAAAAGAAAATAATTTTATCAGCAGAGTTGCTGGTTAAAGGGGAAAATTCTTTAAAGGCAAAAACACACTCATCCATGACAAGTCAATTTTCTCTTGGAGTCCTGCTTCCCTCCCTGGATCTCCTGTCTTAAATGTTGGACCTTAAGTGTTCAGTCCTCTATTCTCTCCTTACAGCAACTTCACAGACTATTGGTGTCTTCAATGATGCTCACACTCACAGCTGTCCAGGGTGAGCACTCTTCTGGGCTCCATTTGGAGGGCCCCCACGCACCTGCAGTACCAACGCCCCTCATTCGCTGGCCCCTCAATTCCTACAGGGCACATTTTAGTATAAGGCATCTGACCTTCTATTCATCCAAACTAGAAACTTGGATATCTTTCTGGATACCTTCCTCCAACTACTTTTCTATTTTCACTGCCACTTACTAGAGGACATCCACCTGGATACCTGCAACAGATTCCTAGCTAGGTGGTAGTTTCTTGGTGCATCCAATACCCACTCCCTCCTAAAAACAAAAGAATTCTCGGGCCTTTCCTGGTGGCGCAGCAGTTGAGCGCTGGGCTGCGAAGCTGCCCACAGCCTCTGCAGCGCCGGTTCGATCCTGGCTGGCCGGTGAGGGTCCCACATGGCGCGCAGACCTCTCCCGCCGCCCACTGTTCCCCTCAGCAATGTACTTTGTCAGTCTGCCTGTTCTGTTCCCTGCTCTGGCTCTGGTGAATTCTCTCACCCTCCTGTGCTTGTGACTGTTCCCAGTGCTTGTATAAATAAATAAATCTTTAAATAAAAATTCTCTATTTTCTTTAGGATAAAGTCTACCCCCCTGAACACAGCTTGGTAGACAGTTCAAAATCTGATTCTTGGGTCTTCTCACTTCTGTGCCCCCCTCCCAATTAAGCTCAGGCTTTCTCTGAGGTCCTCAGAAACTTGCACTTTACGGAGTCCCAACTTGCTTAGCCTATTCTTTCTGACTAAACTACACTCAACCTTCTCCTTCCCATTCTCAACATGCAACTTGGAAGCCTCCAGTCCCAGAGAAGACTTCCTGCCACATAGCCAAGTCAGGATTCAGTTGCCTCAGTATTTACCTCATCCATTGTCCATAACTATATTCTTGTTTAGTTCTCTCACACTTTATTAGGAGCTTCCCTGGTCAGAACTGTGCTGTTTGCCTACAGAAGCCAACTGTCAGCTCACACGGAGGACACTGAAAGGTGTGTTCTTGAATACATGAATGACAGTGTAAAGAAAAATATGAGGGAGCAAATTCCAAGTGTCTGCAATGGCCCTCATCTGTCACAAAACATCTGAATAGAATTTACTACATGAAAGTAGTTAGGAAAATATTCCTTTGTATAACTAGGAAGGTCTTTCTCTGGGGTCACTGGTGGAAATCAAATGTCTGCTGGACTGGGTGACTTAGTTTAAAATCACATCAACCCTTGCCTTAACTACAACAGGCTACATTGGCAGCAGCCCCACCCCCTCCTACTGTCTTCCACTGAGTAAAAAGCGATCTTTGCAAAACATAAATAAAATGCTATAACTTTCATTCCGTGGCCTACTACAAGGCCCCCCAGCCCCCAACCTCATTACCAATCATTCTCCCTCTTACTCACTCTGCGAGGCCACACTGGCCTTTCTGTCTTGAGGTTCCTGTAACAGCAAAGGTTTTCCTGCATTAGAGGCTTCGCCTTTTTGAGTCTCTCCGCCTGCCAAAAATCCACCCCCTCCCCATGAAGGCTTTGCAGCCTCCTCTTCATTCAAATGGCTGCTCAAATGTCACTTCCTTAGACACGTTTCCTGACGACCCATCCAAAACAGCCATCGCGGCCTCGTCACACTCTAGTCCATTATCCTATTCGATTCTCTTGAAATCACTTATCAAGATCGCTCGGTGCTTCTCTCCCCCGTTGAAGAGGAAGCTCCACGGTGGAAATGCTTGCATCGATCTTGTTCACGGTCGTCTGCAAACGAGAGTGGCAGCTGACACTCACTCACTCAATGAATAAAGGCCCTTAATAAACACGCCCATCTCGCAAGTCTTCCACGCTCTCCCCCTCCATCACAGGAATCCGTGAGGGTCGCTACCTTTGCAGGGAAGCGCCTGGACCGTGACCGCCATCCCCAAGAGCTCCGCCCAGCCCTGAGCCAGCAGGGCCGAGAGACCCACACAGGGGCGGAGGACTCGGCGCGGGCGCCCCTCTCCTAGCTCCCTGGGGACGGCCGACCCCTCAACTTCAGCCCCCGGTCCAGCTCCTTAGCCGGCCGCGCACACGCCTCCCTCTGGGTCGAGCTCCGCAGCCGCTCCCGGTTACCTGCCAAGGATGTGGTTCCAGCCTTTCTGCCTTCGCACCGCCGCCCCAGCGCGGACGGGCCCTCGTCGGCCACCGTAGCTCACAGAACGTCGCGGCCGGCCCCGCCCCCCGCGTGCGCAGAGGCCCATTCGGCGTAGAGCGTCTCCTAGCAACCGCTTCGAGTCCCGCCGCCAGGGGCGGGGCATCGGAAGCCACAGGGGGGAAGCCGAGGGGAAGTGAGTGCGGCCAATCAGAGACGAGTCCCCGCCGCGGTCGGCACGCCTCCTCCAACTGTCGCGAATGCGCAGGCGGCTTTACGGCAGGCGAGGGTGGGGGCTGCCGGGGGTGAGGAGGAGAGAAGGAAGCAACCAACCAACCAAGTCGCCCCCGCCCCCCCACCCCCACCCACCCCGGACTTGGTTTACGGCTCCGGGCTCGGGCTCCAGTGCGGCCGCTGATTGGCTACTGCGGGCTTGGTCCCTTCCCAGTGACCCCAAAGTGCTGAAGGGAGGGGGCGGGGGTGGCCCAGTGCAAAGTGCATCCCGAAAGCCCCCCGCCTGGAGCCCCCGCGGCTGGCACCTCGGACCCTGTATGACCCGGGACCTCGCCGCCCCGAGACCTCCCGGATCCCCCCGTAGCGGGGAGCCGCCGGCCCGGAGCGCGGCAGCCCCCAGCTCCGAGCCCTCGGACCCGGACTGCCCCCCCCGCCCGAGCCGGGACTTCCTCCCTGCACCCCTGCCCCGAGGCGGCCCGGCGGCCGGGACCGCCGCCCCCGGCCTCCTGCACCGTCTGGATGTGCGCCGGGCGGGGACCGTGAGGCTCCGGCGAGGATCAGGAACACCCGTGTCCGGCCCTGCCTGGGGTGTTTCTTCAATGGAGAAGTTGGTGAGTGTGGACGAGGCTGAAAGGAGGAAGAGAAGCAGCAGCTGAGGAGACAGGTAAAGTCAGTTGCCCCTCCCGAGGGGCAGGGAGCTGGCTGGGGGGAGAGAATCACGGCTGCTTCCTGCCTGCCCTCACCCCTCGCTCCCCGGCTCCCCCCCTCCGAGCCCCCTCCTGCCCGCCCCCGGGGCACTGCACCACTCCGGGTTTCTGTTTTCCAGATTTGAGCTGGCTGGAGGATCCCCGAGAGCAGGGAGAGGTCTGCCCACCCACCAGAGAAGCGGGCGAGAGCCTCTGGCCAGCATCCTCTACCAAGGTAATAAGGCAGCCTTCCCCTCCCCCATTGTTTATTTCTGGCCCCTACCTCATTAAGCGACGCTTTCTTTTCTGGGTGGTTACCTGGGAATGCACCCTTTCCCAGCTCCCAGTTTCCCAGCAAACACCCAAAACACTGCCCGTGCCTTAACATTTTGCTAACTTCTCTATCCCAGAAATGTGCTTTCCACCTTTTCCTCTGCACAGGGTGCTTCCTTGTTTTGCATTCTCTTTGGGTACCCCGCACCATATACCCTGCTCTGAGACTTTGAGACCTTTTTTGTAGCTCCCCCGCCCCCCTTGCTCTCATAGGAATACCTCAATTCCTTGTTAATTGCTTGTTAATTCTGAATGACTCTGCTTTTTAATTAAACCACAATTTTCTGTTTTCTCCTTTTTCTTTCCTATCATCTTTCCTCTACTTCATCAGAAAATATGTTGAGTTACCTAACTGATAAGGGTTTGGCAGAGCGAGGGTCCGTTATGGACTGACATTTATCAGTTTGAGAAAATAATGTGATTTTTTTTTTTTCCTAGTAAAATGTGCATCTGTGTACCTTAATCATATGAATGGGATGAAAGCACCATTCCCCCCCCCCCCCCGAAGTACTTATGTGTAATTAACTCTTTGGGCTTTTGTGTGTTTCTGTGTGACAGATGTGGATAGGCTCTGACACTGTTGTAAAGAGATAAATAATATTTGTTGCTCTTCAGATTTTCTAGGAGAACTTATGAAACTTCATTGACTATCTTGTTAATCGGGTCATACTCAAAGAATTTGAAAAATAAAGGAATGGCTTGGTGTGTTTAGAATGTAGGGCTTTATTTTTGTACTCTTCATAAATACAATTTCTCATTTCAAAATCCTTACAGAGAATTGCTAGGTTGAAGTTTAAGTGTCTTATTTATGTCATCACATTTCTACTGTATTTTGTTGCTGTCTCTGAAAATACACTTAAGGTAAGTTTAGACCTTCATGTAATTCCTAAAGGGGATGTGATCAGAGAAATTATGCAAGTTAATTTAGAAACTAGCCAAGTAAATGACTTTTCTGACATCCAGTAACAGGAGTAAAATGTAGCAAATTAATCTTAGTTCTTTCAATATCTCAAATTGTTTAGGAAATTTTCAGTGCAAATGACTTAAAGTTGTTAGGAAATCTCTTATTTACTCAGTTCCACTGGACTTCTTGCTTTCCTCAAAAAGAAATTATTGTCTTTACTAAGTCTTCTAAAGTCAGGACATAGCTAAAGTTACTTTTAAGGGACTCTGATCTTTGTATATTCTTGAGACTGGAATTGCACGCTGAAGAGAGATTCTGGTTTATGGGATTTAGAATCAATGTCTACCAATGACTGATCCAGAGAGGTATTGCACCTACAGGGAATCCATGGCGATTGCCCACTTCATTTTAGTAAAAACGTGCAGAAGTTTCTAAAGTTAAAGACTAATTTTCATTATTTAAGTATGTAGACCATTAGAGAGATGCCTATTGATTACTGTAGGACTTTTTCAAAATGCTGACAGGTTTGAAATATGTTTTAAGATCAAAATGAAGTATATTTTCTACTTAAGCCTTCTTAGTTAAGTATTTTTCCTGCTTTAGAGTTAACTCTAGGATGTGTTTATTTCTGAGGGATATTCTCACCTGGAGGGTAAGGGAGCAGGTTTGTGGTGAGTCAAGCATGTCAGCAGGAGACACTACTTTCTCTGGCTTCCAGCCATTGCTTCAATAGCATTTCATTGGTCTGCTTAGCTTTCAATGGTTTTTTTAAGATTGAGAATAGATGTAAATTATCAGCATCTGTTCCCGATGTTCGCATGATTGAGACTGTTTGCTCTAGGTTATGCCATACACTTAAAATATTAAATTTGGGTATTTTTTTTTTAACCAATATCGCCAGGTAGGTAGCTTATCCTGTCTCATCCTGGTAGATCAGTTTGTGTTAATTCTATTGCCCATCGCATGCTTTTGCAAGAAGAAAAAAAAAATGCCTGGTTTTTGATAACCAATAAGATTTATGCTTACATAAGAGTAACTGTAATTGAAAATTTTTTAATGATGCTATCTGTTCCATACTCATTTTCTTTGTATCTAAAGGGATGGTGTTCATAATTATTTGATATTATGACACAGACAAAATCTATTTTCTTCACTTTTATTTTGAGGTCCATATTATCCCTAAAAAGTGTAAAGAGAGATACCATTTATATAAGCTAAGCATATCTAATATCCGACTATCCACCTTTCATTTCATTCTCAACTGACGGCATTCCAGAAGTAGAATATTGTGTCCTCTCTTGCAGACTTCTTAAGCATTGGCATGAGGTTGCCAAGATAATTCTGGCAGATGTGGGTTGGTAAGATAATAATATTGCTAGGACTTCATAGTTTATAGTACTTTTGATTTACGCTTTGAGGTGAATCTGAATAAGTGAATGATAAAAGTGGCTTTTTTGCCTCATGTACATTTCATGTAAGTTTGGGTTTTTCTGCTGGCGCTTAGGAGAGCTACTGATAAGTTGTGCTTGATATTAAATCTGTGTTAAATGGACACCCAGTAATTTGGGGGAAATATGAATATCCTCACTTGTTTTGGAGCTTGGACACTGCTGACTGTATGGAGTGGTACAAAAATAAAACTTCTACTTTATTTTGGGTTGTAGGCTCTTGATCACACAAGTAGAACTCCTCTTCCTATGCCTCAGTGCACACTTTGAACCCTGCGGTGTCTGTGTGTCCATCTTCCCTCTTAGGACTTGTGAGCCACTGATGGCTTTTTGTTCCTGAGAACCAATTTCTTGGCATTGCTGATTTTATTTCCTTACCAGCCTGTATCTCTGTTTACTCTGCAAAGAAATGTGCTTTATTTCTTTTTTTGAGTAGCAAGCTGTTATCTTGTTTTTAGTTTGTGTGAAATCTGAAAGCACAGTCCTCCTTTGTATCACTTAATAAAAAAAAGTGTGGACTTTTAGTGAAAATAATATGCAAAAAGCTATTAATGACTAATCCTTTATGCTAAAGGAAATTGGAGACATATACACAAATTTGGTGACAGCTATATAATGGTAGACAGGCCTTCGATATATTTTTGCTTTTATAGTTATTTTATTCTGTGCTCTAATCTATGAATATAGACTTCCTTTGCATTTTCACTTAATATGAAGTTCACTTAGCATCTAAATGGAAATTAGCTGGTTACTTATTTTAATTGCTAAATGAATTATTTCTAGCATGATCAGCAGTATAAAAGCTGGAGGCCTAGACTGTTTTCTTTTGACCCCATGTCAAGTAGAAAAGATGGATTCATAAAATCTTAACATGATGTTAACTTTGAACAGTAAGATATCATATAAGAATTTTGTGCATTTGATAAATAATTCTGTAGTTTTGTTTGTAAGGTTTTTCTTTTTTTCCTTCTGTGAAACCTGGGATGGAACTTCTAGAGACTGCCCCCTCGGAGGGTCAGTTTTTGACTTCATACATCATCATTAATTTAAAACCACTTAACATTGGCCATATATTAATTCAGAAAATGGTCTCCACCATACTCCTTATTTTATAAGTGACTTCTGGGGGCTACCAGATTTTCAAACTTGCTCTTCTTGAGGGGAAGTGGACATCTTTCCATTCTCATCTCTGCACTTCCTCCTGTTTTTAATAAGCATGCTTACCATTGAATACTGCATTTATAAATTCAGTGGTCTTTTTTCTCTTTATTGATCTGTACATACCTGAATAGCTATGCAACTCTTGTAAAATAACACTAAAATGAAATTGTCAGATGCTTTGGACTGTTAGCATATCTTGACATTAAGTTATTGTCCTTTAACTTTGGCATATTTTGCTAGTAAGTCATTGTCCTTCAGAATGAAGGGATGCAGCTGTCAGGGATCACATGTGCAATGTATGTGTATGTGTGCCTGTGTATATTTTCCTGTACAGATTGATGATACAGGAAGTGCTTTTTCGGCTTAAACCTGTGGCTATTATTTAAAGCATGGGACATTGTCAGAAAAGGGAAAAATGATTTTAACATATTTAGGACTATCTGACACATTTTAAGTATTCAGAGCTCTATTAAAATTCCACTTGTAGGTAACAGCCGTGGCTGAGGCCTAGCAGAGCTCCAAGCACATACCAGGTACTGAGACTTTCATCCGTCTCTTGAAGTCGCTCAGGTGGGATTATTACAAGTTGCTATTGTTTGTGCATCTTTCTTGTGGAGGGAAGTACTGTGTCTCTTCATTCTCAGATCAAGATTTTTCCTGTTATCATTAATAGATGAATCTATCTCATGCTTTCCTCAATCCCACCTCTTCTGTCTTCCCCACTAGCCTTGCTACCACCTTGGAAGTGGTAATGGATAGATGGAAGGAAGCAGCAAGGATGTTTAATGGTTTGAGACCTTGGAACATATCCTTGGGAGGCAGGGATACCAAAGACACACTTAGAAGTAATGCATTCGGTTATGTTCATTTGTGAAATGTAGATGTAGCTCTTGTGGCAAATAATCTTGTTCATTTGTAGAAATGCTGGATCCTCATCATTGGAGACACTGTTTAAATAAGCTTTATTTTTCAGTAGTTTTAGATTTACAGAAAAATGGTGAAGAGAGAATGAAATTCCCGTAGTCCACAGTTTCCCCCCATTAATATCTTTCATTAATAGGTATGTTAGTCACAACTAATGGACCACTATTGATAGATTATTGTGAACCAAAATCTATTTTATATTCAGATTTCCCTAACTTTTACCCAATGTTCTATTTCTGTTCCAGCATTCCATCCAGAATACTATTCACTATTACTTTAGTCACCTTGTCTCCTTAGGTTGCTCCTGACTGTGACAGTTTCTCAGACTTCCCTTGTTTTGAAGTTTGTTGACCTTGACATTTGGAAAGAGTACTGTCAGGTATTTTATAGGATGTCCCAGTTGTGATTTACCCAATATTTTTTCTCCTGATTAGATTGGGGTTATGAGTCATGGGGAAGATAGATCACAGGGCTAATGCAATTCTCAAGTCATACTATCACGTGACTTGGCACCTTTGATATTAACCAAGATCAGTTACCTGACTGAGACACTGTGAAATTTCCTCCCTGTTAAGTCTCTTCCCTTCTTGGGAAGAAAATCGCCATGCATGGTCGACACTTAAGGAGTGAGGGGTTAAGTTTTACTTCCCGGAGCAGGGAGCAGCTATACAAATTATTTGCAGTACTGCACGGATTTGCTTCTTCTTCCCCTTTTATTTAATTGGTTCTTCATATAAATATGGACTTTTTGATACTCTGTTCTGTGGTTTATGACCCAGTTGTCCTTTAATTATTGTGTTGTACGATGGTTCTGTCTTGGCTATAAAGAGCTCTTACAGTTGGCTACTGTGTCCCTTGGACACTCGCCCATTTCTGTTTTTCCTCCAGCATTTCCTTCCTTTGTGACACCGTGAGATTCTTCAGGCTCACCTTGTACATTTCCAGCCCCAATCCGAGAATCAGCCGTTCCCGCCAGCCTAGCTCTGCATTTTTTATAGCTTGTCTTGTAGGACCTAAATCATGTCTAGCTCATTTACTAGGAAGTAGTGGGTAGATTTTTAAGTCAAATTCTATTCCAAGTGCATGTTGGCAAGGTGTTTGGCCTTCCTTGACAAAGTACGACAAGGGAAAAACAAGGTGTGAAACCAGGGAATGGGGCATGTGGACTGTACTCATTTGGAGAGGTGAAAAGTTCCCGGTGTGTAGCCAACAGCACCCAGGGCTGCTGCTCTTCCCCACAGCACTACAGGTTGCCAGGCAGCCTGAGCTGGGTTTGCATGATGGAGAGCTAGCGCCGGGATGGGTGGCAGTGCTCCCAGTCAGCCATTCCTGGAGTGGGTCCTTGTATGAAAGTCACTTTGTATCTGGTCTTCACATTAATGGAATTCACAGACAGCAAATTTAATGGACACGGAGAAAAGACCTCTTTTTCTTTTCATTCTAGAGAGAATTTTATTTTTAGAGTTCATGTGGGGAAGGCAGCAGTACTGTTGTTGCTCATCTTATGCCCAGTTTGGTATATCCTTTTGGAATAATGATTTCAAAATGATGAACACGAAGATTTTGAACGTAGGACTTTTGAACCAGCTCTTAAGGACAATCTCCTGTCAGTTGTTCTATTTTCTGTATTGGCCTTGGCCACCTACTGGATTGAGTGCAAACACAGCCTCATTTTAGTCCTATTTAGAAAGTGCAAACAACTAATAATGTCAGTTGAAGAATAATTGAAATGAAGCAAGTCTGAAAATATATTCTGGAGGGAAGAAAAAGAAGAATCTGCTTGCATTCAAATTCTAAATATGTCATTGTTTTCTTTATTCTTTTTCAAAAAAGCTCTGCCTTTTTAGGAAAAAAATAGCTGAAAATAAGTCATATTCTATGCCACCTTGGAGAGCAGTATAGGTAACAAGATGATTTTCTGTAAGAATTGGTCTGAGGTTTGTGGTTGGGTGCCAGAATTTAAAATCATCAAAAGGTAGACTGTGTAGGCTGCTTTGATTCTTTATTATTTTTAAGAATTTTCCTATATTTGTCTTTAGGTTAAGAAAGCTCTTTTGTGCTGCAACCTGAACACCCGTCAAGCCCTATCCCCACGATGCTGTATGTGCACAATGGTTATTAGACAGTCCACATATCAGGAGAAGGAACATTCTTCCAGAAGGTGAGTGAGTCAGGGTCGTTGTCCATCTGTGTTATATGGGAAAAACCCACAGAGCTCTTTTCTTAAGACCAGCTAATGTGGACCAAGCCTACTCCAAAAAATCCACGTTTGTTGGCTTTAATATTGTCTGAAACTTTTTCTTGCATTATAAATTTCATTTAAGGTAATCATCTGTTAAAAAATCTGTTACAGATGATTGTTTGAGTATGGTGATTTCCATTAATTCCTTTTAATGTTTTGTCACTGTCTTCTCTTAAAAATAAGCAAAAGTCTACTCCTAAAAGATTCTTTGTTTAAAAATTTTTTTAAGACGAGATTTAATTTTAGTGTCAGTTGAAAAAAAGGAATTAAGTGAAAATCGTGTTGATTAAGAAATTGTCGGGAAATATGTCCCAATTTTCTCTGTGGAAATGGTTCTTGATAGTAGTAGCCTAATATTTTTAAATTGCATTATGGAGTAGTGCTATACTTAATGAGTTTGTAATAACCATTTCTGTATATAAAACAACATTAGATATTTGATTATACTCATAAGATGTGGTGATTTGACCCTAAGCTAGGATTAGGTTTACCTTTGTACAATTTATAGTGAGAAGTTTTACAAGATAAATTTTTATTGGTAGCAAGATTATCCCAAGATGTCTAACCTACATAAGAGACCACACTATCTTTAAAGGACTTTATCACATAATTTTTTTATTTTTAGAAATGTGCGTACTAATTAAGAGATGAGTCTTAGCTATCCTTTAAAATTAACCCAGATGAAATGGCTTAATAGAAGCTTGTTAGTTTAAGTTTCTGTATGTATTTAAAAGCTTAAAAATGCTCTAAAACGTTATGGTATGCACACATACGGTATGCAACTTTTCACCAATTTAATTTGGACTTCTATTTGTAGGAAGGGAGATCTCATTTTATATTGAGTACACATCTCTTGAAACCTTTTGAAAGTGTGGAATTCCATATGCTTTTCCTTTGAAATACTTTTTACAAGTGGTTAATCAACAGGTTGCTCAGGTTCTTTTAGTTTTTCAATAGTTTGTATGATCTTGTTACTTTACATATTTGTGAAGTAAAGCTTCTGGTAAAATGAAGTTAGACATGTGTGAAAGAGCTATGTGGGGGTAGTAAATCACAAAGTGGGGTAGATAGAGAGAAACAGGAATACACAAAGGGAAAGTAAATGTAATTTAAACATCTCATTCTAATTTACTTCACTCCACTCACTTCCCTCCCCTCCACGCCCTGCCACCCTTTAAGAGCTAAAAATAAAAAAAATGTTGAAATACTTTGGGCACATGCCTGATTTTTTTTTTTTTTAACAGAGTCTCATAATTAAGAGTCTTTAGTCTTGATTGTCTGTATATTGTCCATTTAATGTTTCATATTTGCTCATTGATCTATGATAGAATCCTTGAATAGTTTATAACTTAAATTTCCTTTGTTGCAACAGATTAAAACAATTACACACCTGACTTCTCTGTTGACTCCCATCTTTCAAGCTGCCCATTATCATCTTCCATTTTACCTAAAATAATGCTGTTCTGTTTATAGGTTGTTTGCTTTGAATTTTCAAAAGGCTGCAGAAGAAATTTCCTGGTTTATGCTTGGATTCTTTTTTGAAATCTTTTATAATCTAAAGTTTTGGTCCTTGCTGGTTGTCTACTGACACATGTTAATTGTAGTAGCATGAACTGTCATCACTAAGGTGTGCATGATTTAGTGTCAGAAAATTCCATCACTTTAAATGAACAATGCTGTTAGGAGCCAAGTATTCTAAGTTTCATGTGTTCTACCACCCTTAAAGGCTGATCCCTGTGACCTAATGAATCCTTTGTAAAAAGTGGACTCAGCTAGGATGTTACACCACCACTGTCGAAGGAACCCTGAACTCCAGGAAGAATTGCAGATTCAGGCTGCAGTGGCTGCCGGGGATGTTCACACCGTACGGAAAATGTTAGAACAAGGCTATTCTCCAAATGGCCGGGATGCTAATGGCTGGACCCTGCTTCATTTCTCTGCAGCAAGAGGAAAGGAAAGATGTGTTCGCGTATTTCTAGAACATGGAGGTGAGTGAATTAGAAGCAAAACTTTTTTCCCAAGGAAAAACTTAAAATGAAATTATATTTAATTTAAAAATATATGTAGGCCTGTGATTATAAGTTTTAATGCAGCTTCTTCTTTTCTCTCCTTTGTGCAGATTATTAGTTTTATTGAGTTTTGTTTAAAGCTAGGTTACGTCAAAGATCAATTTGGAGAATGTGCTTTTCTCCCCCTCTCTAACTGTAGTTTGTGTACAGGCAGGTTTTAGCGAGTTATTTCAGCCAGTAGCAGCTCTTATACAGGTTGTCCAGTTGCTTTTGTTTCAGAAGCAGAAATTGCTGTGGCACCAATAATTAAATAGCACAAGTTTCACCCGTTAATATTTGCTCATGTGGGCAAACCTAGCGCAGTTCCATTTATATACCATGGCCTTGGTGCTATCCTGTCATTTAAATTTCCCTCTTTAAAATCTCTTTTGGATGCCTTGCTTTTGTTACTGTTTGGGAACACTTGTCTTTCCTGGAATTGCATACTATTTCTAGGTATCCTATAGGAAGATGGTTATCTGAGTTCTAATTGTATATAAGTATATGCAGGTGGAAACAACATTTGACATTATACAATTTTGCTTTGAAAGACTCGCCATTCCCATACTTCAGGATTATTAATCCGCTTAACCTAATTTAATTTTTTCTTCAGTTGAATTTCTACCTACTTAATTTTCCTAAGATGCTTTACAGGTTTCCCCTGCTATCCAAAGCAAAGTGTTCCTCTGAAATCTTTCATAAGCCGACATGGCATAAAGCAAAGAGGCACTTTCATTAGAAAAAATTTTGAACTTTCCCTGACCCAAAAAATATATACCAAATCATTCCCAACAACACATAAAACCTAGTCACACTAACACATAGTAAGAGCAGGACTGATACAACAAATGCACAGGCTGTAGAAAGTAGTTTCTGGGGAGAGAGCTTAGTGCAGGCCACTGTTCCTGCTTGGGGTGCAGACTGCCTCTTGAATGACTTCTGCAAAGCAAAGTTTAAATGCTGAATGCTAAATGCTTTTGTCTTAAAAGCAGTGAAAATCCTCTTCAGATTTCTTTCAGTTAGGGAGATCAGATACTAATGTGGGTCTTATGTAAAAAGCAAAGTGGCCTAATAAGAACTTTTGAAAAGTGGGTATACCTGTGTTTTATTGTTCATACTTGTATTACATGATGATGTAAAGCAGCTTGGTAGAACTCAGGTTACACATATGCCACTCTAGGCCCTGAATTGCTCATTGACAGTCACTTAATTTCATTTTAAGGTGAACTTGGTTATAAACAAGACTAGTCAAACTTAAAGTACAGAAAATGTTAGAAGTGCCACAGTTCTTGTGCAAGCCATACTGATTTTATGGAGAAAGGAATACAAGGGGTTCCCCTGAACCGTCGACACACGTTCCAGGGACCTGGGGTGTGAATTTTGAAGTTGTTGACTCTTGATAGGACTAGTCGGGTCTGTGCCTTCTTTGTGGCTGTCCTCTATCCTTTTCTACCACTTTTACTCCTTTTCTTTCACCCTTAAAACTTGAAAACCTCAGTTCTGAAGTTAATGAAGGGGAAATATAAAACTAAAAGGTGAGTTTAGAATCAGAATCCTTAAAGATGTGGTAGTGTGTAGTAAAATTAAGACCAGATCAGAGTTAACATTGTCTATTCCCCCTAATCCTGCTACTCTCTGCCTTTGCCAGCCTCACTTAAAAAAAAAAAAAAATAATAAAAAGTTCATTTACTCAGGAAATATATAAATTTGTCTCCTTAAAACATTTTCAGATAAACTACAAATAAAGCCAAAGTCCTCTTTGGCCTACTCCCAGTCCTTATCTGTCCGCCTCTGCCCAGAAGTCATCATGGGTGTGAGTTTGGTTTGGTTCTTATCTTTCTAGATCATAGCTTAATACTATTACATATGCTCATAGAAAATGTGTTGTGTTTGGTTTTAGAACATAAGTGGTATCATAGTAATTTTCTGCAGCTCTTGATTATTGCTTAACTATGTAACTTAAAGTTCTTTTTAATAAACTTTCTGTGAAAGGCCAGGTAGTACATATTTTAGGCTTTCTGAGCTTAATGTCTCTGTTGTAACAGTTCAGACCTGCTGTTACGGCCCGAAAGCAGCCATAAACAGTGTGTAAATGAATGAGTGTGGCTGTGTGTCAGCAAAACTTTATAAAGCAGTGGATTTGAGCCCTTGCGCCCTGGCCTTCCACATCTCTATGTGTGTGTATTTAACATCTTGGTCAGTGACAGACCATATTATACTGTGATGAGCCCAATCGGCCATACCATGCAGCCTGGGTATGAGGTGGACTCTGCCGTCTAAGTTGTATAATCACATACTGTGATGGTCACTCAGTGACACGATTGCCTAGGGATGCATTTGTCAGAACATACTCCCGTTGCTAAGTGACACATGGCTGTATATGTAGATGCTCTGTATAAGTGTGGCTGTATATTATATATACACACACACAGAGACACATGCTTTTTTATATATATGTATTTATATATATATATATAAAGTGTTTGTGTATATTTTAAGAGATTTTATTGAATTGGAATCCACATGCCATTCAATTTACCCACTTAAAGTGAACATTTCAATGGCTTTTTGTATTTTCATCCATTTGGGCATCCATCACCACAACCAATTTTATGAAACTTTCATAACCCCAGAAAGAAACCTTGTACCTATTCCATATTAATACATTTAGATTTACTCTGTTGTCTTCTGCTGCTAAATATAGTATTATATTAGTATGAATATGCGGGCATTTGTTTAACCATACCTTGCTATTTGAGGGGAATGGCTGAAATTTTCTCAGCAGGAGATTTTATTTGTTGAGAAGGCACATGTGCGCGCGCGCGCGTGTGTGTGTGTGTGTGTGTGTGTGGTTAAAACCAAAATGAAAGGTGGTATGACTGTTCAGTGAGGGGAAAATATCTGTTCTTCACCCCAGCGCTATTAGCTCCTCCTCGAGGCAGTCACCTTCATTGTTTTCTTTGTATCTCACTGGGCATGTAGATCTACATATTTTTCTATCTTCCACTTCAGGCCTGCTCCACCTTCTTTTTTCAAAAAATCTGTTCTGCGTCTTGATTTTTTTTTTCTTGTAACAGTTTAGCTTAGTGGTAGGTCCTTGTCACATGCAAGTCCTTTATATAAAATGGTATCTAGTCCTTGTATACGACCTATGCATAGCTTCCCATATCTTTAGACGACTTATGGTCACTAATGCAGTGTATGTACTGCACAGACAGTTGTTACATATATTGTTTAGAGAATGACAAAAACAAAAAGTGTGCACATCCAGTGTACATGCAGCCATCATAGAGCTGATATACTAAGAATTTTCCATATGCAGTTGGTTGAACTCACGGGTGTGGAACCTGTGGATATGGAGCGCTGAGTAGATTTCCTTTTAAAACCCCATCAATAGTTTCCTATTTCTCTTTGGATAATATCCAGAGTCCTCCATGTCACCTACATGGCCCTATAGTCTCTGACACCTCTGTAATATCTCCCCACCTTCACCTTCAAGCTGCAGCCCTTCTGAGTTCTTCCTGATGCACTGAGGGCTGAGGCTTTTGCCCTGGACCTACCTGGGCCACTCTTCTGCTCACCCCACTGTGCTCATTCAGCCTGCTCCCCTTCACCCCTTCAGCAGTTCTTCAGGGACGTCTCTTACCATTCAGACTGGGTCAGACTCCTGTTCTCTCTTTTTGTTGTAGCACCTATCACAACTATAATGAATTCATTTTGTAGTATTTATTCTGTTTAATGTCTATATCTCATTAGTCTGAGGTTTTGTGAGGGTAAAACCCAGATCTGTTTTATTTCCAATGAGAGGAAACAGAACCCAGTTATCTAAGATGAGTGTTCCCCAGCTACCTTATAGAGATAAGACCAATTATTTCTTCTGTTAAAAAGTATTGATTGGAAATGAGCCATCCTTACTGGATTAGAAGAGTATCTGAATAAAGTTAATCGGTGATGGACATTAGGTGAAATGAAGTCAAAGTTAAAATACAGAGAAGTGAGCAAAATAACCCACTAGAAACAAACTTCTCCCTCCCTCCCCCTTCCTATCTCCTTCTCTATCTTTCCCTCCCTCACTGTGAGGAGAGGGGAGAATTCACGTAGAGGGCCAACTGTCCCTCTGTACGTCACTCACATTTATTCAGGATGTTTATTGAGCACCTAACATGTGCCAGCTCCGGCCAGGCACTGAGAGGCAGAAGGGAGCAACTATTTACTGTCCTCTGGCCCTTCATGGTCTGCTGGGGGGATAGGTTTGTAGCAGACATTTATTATTTACTAAGCTTTTTATTTCACATAAACGTGGTTCCACACAACATTGCTCTGAGAGTGAGTAGTATTTTTCCTGCTGAGAAAACTGAGCCACACAATGGTAAGTAATTCTCCCAAGGCCATTCACATCTTAAATAGTGGAGCTAGGATTCAAACACTTCTCTTCACATAGATTCTATATGAACTGCAAGAAAGCAAGGCAGTTCCAACAGAGTCGGCTAAGTGCCATGCACAGTAAGGTCCCTGCTGTTGCTGGGGTGAGGTTGGGGGAGCAGTAGAGAGAAAGTAGGTTTGAATTGCCATTTTGCATGGCGAGGCAGGGAACGGGTGCTGGAAGGATGAAGGTGTGGGGTCACTGATACAGGATGCTCCAAGTGAAAGGCTAAAGACAGGAAAGGAGCTTGTTTGGCTTAGAACCCCCAGAAAGTGCCACATGATTATAGCATCTCCAATAAGTCCTTCTAGGGACAGTGGGGAGCCATTTGACAGAGAGGAATGGGAGAGAAGGGTTTGTCTTGTAGAAAGTTCTCTGGTTATACATAGTTTGTGATCTCAGGTGTTTGTAAGTGGGGGAAGCAGATGTTGGGTGGTGATAAGCACCGTGAAGAAAATGAAGCAGTGGAGGGATAAAGAGGTCCGGAATTCTGTCTTAAATAAGGTGTTCCACAAAG